ATTTCTATAAACTTGCAATAGGATTTAAAAATTGTATGCTATGTTGAAGATTGTGTATATATTTGGGTTCTAACATTTATTACTTTAGACATAAATAGCTTTATAAATAGCTTGTAAAACATGTAATAAAGAAATTATTTATAAAGCATAAGCAAGAAAAATCAAATACTTTTGAACCCATAATAAAAATGGTACGTCATGTTTTAAGGGGAAAGAGGAAAGAATACATTCTGGTCAGTTAAGAATACCAATATCAGTTTATAATATTTATGCCAGGTGATTTTTCTCTGTGTTTTTTGTTGTTAAACAATTCCAGTCTGGCTGTGAGCAATTATACGCTATAACTACCCTTATACTATGCTTATAATTATACTTAATGACATTTGCATATTGAAAGTCATGTCTTCAGCAAAAAATGTCAAAGATAGAAACAAAAAATGTACCGTTTTCATTAAAATAATCAGGGAGAATTTAAGCAAAGAGGGGATTAATGATATTCCAAAGCTTACCCAGGCCATAGAGTCAGGAAGATAAACCAGGTCTCTCGGATTTCAATGCCAGTGTTCTAGTCACTGGCTTGTTCAACTCCTGTGCAAAACATCCATACACAATACACAATGCATATTCCCCCTTCCTATCAAGTGGTTGTCAAAAGAAACACGCCATTACCTTTCCCACATACTGAGGCTCGGAGCCCATGTATTCTTCCAGCACAAAAAATTGATTCCATACCCAGCCACGTTTAACTCGTTGGAAATGTGACCGTCGCCCTGGAAGGTGGATAACATTTTCCCTTGGCTCTGTGGCTAAAGTCTGTTGTGGCTGTGGTTGAAGTGGTGTTAGGAGACCTCCATCAAACAGGACCCAGAGAAGCAGGGATAAACAGTTCCTTGTAAGCATTGGCAAAGGCTTTCCTGCAGCAGAGTGATAAAAACTCCAGCACTTAATGTAGAATTGTGGAATCCAGGTTTGAAGTGTTCGTGGCCTCCACCACTTAGCTTCCTGTTTTATTGCAGAAAGGATAACACAGGCATTAATCCTTTTGATGAAAAGGCTTCTGCTGTATTATATTCCATCTAAAGGGACCTATAAAATAGATTAACAAAGATACATTAAATTAATAAAATTACATGATGATATTCATCAGAACATTAATCACATCTGCCAACAGTTAAAGAAACAGAGGGGAAAGACTTTAAAACAATGATATTGCTCAATGGTCATTGCTATTCAGCTTATTGGCTATCAAGTTTTTTACAGACTTGAAAAAATATTTGTTACAACAAAGCGAAAGGTGTATTATAAACAAAAGCAAATTTTATTAAATTTAGGAATCATTTTAAGGCAAGAACACAGATTACTATTTTAAAGTGAACTACTAAGTTAGAATAGGATTTTACAACATCAACAACTATAGACATCTTAGGGATTCTGGGAAAGTTATTTTGTGTAAGATTTTTAGCGGCACCCTTTTCTTCTACTTAATAGATGACAGTAGCATACTCTCCCACACCCAGTATGATAACAAAAAAATATTTCCAAACATTGTCAAATATGCCCTGCAGGGAACAAAATAGACCAGGATTAAGAACACAAATGTGGAGAGTAA